AATGTTTGTACCCCCATGATATCCTGAATAAAAAAAACTGAACTCAACTTGGATCAAAGATCTAAAAGAGTAAAACTACAAAACTACTGGAATAATAAAATGGGCAAAGGGCTTGAATAGACATTTCTCCAAAGAAGATACATAAATGATCAACACAAGCACATAAAGAGATCTTCAACATCATTAATCAATAGGAAATGCAAATCATAACCTCATTGAGGTATTACTTCACATCTACTGGGATGGCTATAATTTTTTTAAAAGGGAAAGTAACAAGTGTTGCCTGGGATGTGGAAAAATTGGAACCCTCATGCATTGATAATGGGAATGTTAAATGGTGTGGTCACTATGGAAAACAGTTTGGCCACTCCTCAAAAAGTAAAACATAGAATCACCATATGACCCAGCATTTCCATCTCTAGTTATATACCCAAAAAATGAAAGCAGGGTCTCAACATGTATTTGTACACTTGTGTTCATAGTAGCCCTGTTTGCAATAGCCAAAAGGTGGAAATCACATGAACAAACGAATGAAGAAACAAAATGTGCTATATCCATACATTGGAATTCAGCCATAAAAAGGAACAAGTATTGACACATGATACAACATGAGTAAACTTAAAAAAAATCATGCTAAGTGAAAGAAACCAGACACAAAAGGCCACATGATTTCACTTATATTCAATATGCAAAATATGCAAATCCATAGAGACAGAAAGACTAGTGGTTGGCAGGGGCTGTGAGCAGGAGGTGATGAGTGACTGCTTCATGGGTATGGGGTTTCTTTTGGGTGAATGAAAATGCTTTGGAACTAAACAGACATGAAGATTGCACAACATTGTGAATGTACTAAATGCCACTGAATTATGCACTTGAAAATGGTTAATTTTATGTTATGTGACTTAACCTCTATAAAGTTATATATGTGTGTGTGCGCGCGCGTGTGTGTGTGTGTGTGTGTGTGTGTTTGCAACGGTGGACATTAGGGTAAGTGGAAGAATTATACTTTATCATTTATTAACTCTTTTAAAATTTCTGTAAAATGATTTATATTTATTACTTTAATACCAAATAACTGCCTGATCAGATATGAGATTTCCTCCTTCAATTACATTTAACTTAAAGAAATACATAGCTAACCACTATACAATCACGGCACACCACAACCCAGTGGCAAACATCATCGCCTCACCATGGTTCTCCTAGGGCTTGAACCCAGGATCTTCTGCGTGTAAAGCAGATGTGATAACCACTACATCACGGAACCACGGCAATTTTACTATATATATATTTTTTTTTTTTCCTGGTCCTGGAAAAGTCCAGCCAAAATATTAAAAGCAGAACTAAGGATGGGGTTATATACGGTTTCGATTTCCTTTCCTTGTAATCAGAAATTGCTGATATTTCATCATAAACCTTCATTACCTATTTAATTTAAAATGTATAAAAATTAAAATCATATATACTATAAAAACAATGTGACACTCTAAATCTGTTTATAGGAATGTTTGTTCGGGAAATAATACTGAATAAAAGCAATGATTTGTGCTTCAGAATATTCTTAGCAGCTTTGGTTTGAATAAGGAAACACCAGAAACAACAAACACCTAAATCCACCAAAATTAGAGGCAAGATTAAGATGAAACCTATCAAAATAGATCTATGGCATAGACCAAAAGGTTGGTAATTGTTATATGTGGATAGAAGAATTAGTGATTTTTATTTTATTTTGCGTACTAATGCTATTTGATTTCTTTTTTAAAATAAACTTATTTGAATAACAAGCAAAACAAAACCTTTTTTTTTTAAATCACAAAACAAAAAATGAGGTATGGTTTATAGTATTATATTGGCAAAAAATAAAGTTTATAATACCCAAGGAGGAACTTATGCAAGAAATGGGCATTATCTAAAGCGCTGGTGGAAACATAAAATGGTGTCTACATGCTACTTGATAGTACAGTTAAAGAACATTAAAAGGCCTCTACTACTCAATTCCACATTTAGTTATTTATCTTAAGTACATAATACTACAAGAATGCTGCTACAAAATTATTCACCACAGATTCAGATTTCTGGGGAAAATTTAGAAACTACTTTAAAGTCCAAAGTAAAGAAACACTTTTAAAAAATTCTGATCCATTTATACAATGGAAGCTAGCTGTGAAATAATATTGAATAGCAAAAGATATTTTAGTTATTCAATAAACTGAACATAAAATTTTGACAGAATGCATTCAGTATGAAGGTATAGAATATACATTTAGTATATAATATATTCGGTATGATTCTATATTTGTTTTAAAATTTACAAATAGGCAAAGCCCTTAAAGATATAAAATAATCTCTTTAAAGTGATTGTTATATAGATATAATATGCATATCTTTTTAAAGCAATGCAGTTGTAAAATGAAATAATTTTTAAAAACCCCACAAGCCCCCCAATTTCTTATAACTTAAGATGAGTAGGAAAATATGCACTCTTGTACACTGTTGGTGGGAATAAACTTTATGGAAGAAGCATTTGGCAACAGACGGCAAAGTATATAAGGCAATTAAATATCCCTAGATGTCAGCAAACATTCAGCTACAAATGTGTTCCCCATAGAGATAATCTGGGGAAAAGTCGAAACCATTTAAAAATACATCTAAGGGCTATGTTTTAGAAATTATAGCTCATCCATAAAACAAAACATTAAGTAAAATCAAAATTATAGGAGAATATTTAATAATTTGGAAAGATGATGAGACTTGTTATGATGAAAATATCCCACAGTGAAAAACATACATTCTACATTACATATTTGGAGAAATTATTTATATATATGCCTAAAATGTTTCAAAGTTTTGTTTTTTTTTTGTCAAATGGTAGAATTAGGAATGACTTTGACTTTTTTCCTTACCAATATTTTTTAAATGTTTTTATTATGAGAAAATACTGTTTGTACAAAGATAATCGCTAAAATAAATTTTAAAATATCTCTAATTACCCTGATAAAACATTAGAAGAGTGTAGAAATGATTGTAGTACCAAATCCAGAAAATTGTCCAGGTGTCCAGGTCCACTCACAGTATTTCTACACCTTATGAGAGTAAATTGGTACTATCTTCACGGGTGGTAACTTACTAATGAACCAGACGGAAAAAAACCTATTAAACCTCTCATATCTTTGACCCTTCAATTCTACTTCCTCCCACATCCCTTGACCCTTCAATTCTACTTTTAAAAATGTTTGTTAAAGAAATAATTATGAATGTAAGCAAGATTTGTGCACTATGATATTCATAGGAGCTTTGGTTTGGACAAGGAAAAAAAAACCTGAAAAACCTCAGATTTTCAACAATGGAGAAGTAGTTAAAACAAATATATCCCCATATGTATATCTAAATATGGATATATACACATAGATATATGTAAATATGTATATCTTGTATCAAGCTCATCCATACATTGGAACACTAAACACCCATGGAAATTATTTTAGAAGAATATTTAATGACATGAAAGGAAGTTCGAGAATATCTATACATCTATGTCTATAATATATATTTATGTGTGAAAAAGCAGATATTGAAACAATATATACATTAATTTCACATGTATATCACATGAAAAATACCGGGCAGGTACGCATGAAAATGTTTCGGGAATGTACGGGTAATCATTAGGACTGATTGCTGTTGACATTAATTTTCTTCTGTGAACTTGTTTCTGCGATGAAGCTGGATGATTCTTCTGACAACAGGGAAAAGGACAGGAAGTGGGCACAGGGGAAGGGGGTCATAAACAGTGTTTAATTCCAGCAAAACAACCAAGGACAGTGAAATACCACTTACAGCCCATCAAGCTGGCCAAGACACACACAAACACACGCACGCGCGCGCGCACACACAGGCACACCAATTATAGTGACCAGGAGATTGCGCAGGGGAAACGGGCATACTCTTTTCACTAGCTGCGCTGGCTGGCACGAGTGCAAATCGGTACAACGCTTATGGAGGGGGCCTTTTGGCAGCACACAGAAAAAGTCTTTAAAATGTCTATATGTGGATCCTGCGAGTCCACGGTTAAGGAGACCATCGGGATGCTAGCAAAGATTTGGCTTGACAAGGAAGGATTCACTCATCAGAGCACACGCAGTGTTGGTTTTAAACACAGGGAAAGAACTAGGCACCACCTGAATGTCCAACAATGCGGGAATGATTACAGAATGTTAAGGTCCATGGATACACTGGAGCACTCTGCAGGCACTGAAGATGACGTTTCATAAGCCTGTTGAATTACATGGAAAGAAGTTGAATGGGTTGATTTTTGTTTGGTTTTAGTTGCCGAAAAAGCAGGTTAAGAAACACCACATACATGAACCATTCTATAACAGTGTGTTAAAATTGAAGGTGGGGTGGGGGAGAGGAAGGGAGAGCAAGAGGGAGAGAGAAGAAAGCCTGGAAAACAGCACACCAAAAGGGTAAAAGCGGTTCTCTCTGGGTAGTAGGATCACGGGGATCAATTACTCTCTTGGTTTTCCCCCATCTGATGTCCAGCTCCTTTCTGATGTTTCCACCATAAAATGTGCATCACCTGTGCAGTAAACAAAGAGAGAGTGAAAACGCTTTTTAAGCCAAACCACAGGGAGTAGAGGCAGCCTTTAACCCACAATGGCGCAGATTAGTAAGATTATTCACAACACCCTTGGTGGGGGGTGAGTGGAGGAAGTGAAGGAAAGGAAAGGAAGAGGGAGACGGTAGAAAGTGGGGGAGGTGGAGGGAGCAGAGGAGCAGCGAGGAGAAGGAGAGGCAGAGGGGGAGAGGCGCAAGGAGAGGGAAAGGGGCAGGAAAAGAAGAAGGAGCTGGAGAAGGGGGCGGAGAGAGGGAGAGGGAGAGAGAGAGAGACCTGCACTCCCAATACAATACACTGCTGGTGGGTTGGGGTGGGGGGGAGGTTGTAAACCGGGTGGGAGCCAAGGTTTGGCTCTGCTGGCTGGCTAGCTTCTGGGATGTCTTCATCGAAAGGTGGCCTCCTCGTCGGTGTCGTCCTCGAAATCCTTGACGTCAGCGCTGGTGGACTGCCTGGCCCAGGCTCCCCTTTCGGCCTCTCGTTCTTTATGCGACTTGAATCTCCCCACGAAAATTTTGCGGTAGTTGAGGAACATGCCATTCATCGCATCGATGGCCCGCTCCGCGGACTCCTGCTTCTGGAAGTGCACGAACCCGTAGCCCTTGGGCCCCTTTTCGTCGCAGGCCACTTTGCAGGAGAGGATGTTGCCAAACGCCGAGAAGATGTTGTACAGCGCCTTGTTGTCGATGGTCTTGCCCAGGTTCTTGATGAAGACGTTGCCCACCCCGCTTTTGCGGAGCGAGGGGTCCCTCTGGGACCACATGATGCGCACTGGCCTGCCCTTTATGACATCGAAGTTCAGGGTCTCCAGGGCCCGCTTGGCATCCACCGGTTGCTGATAGTTGACATACGCATAGCCCAATGAGCGGCGGGTGATCTTGTCCCTGCAAATGCGGATGGAGAGGATGGGCCCGGCTGGACTGAACTTCTCGTACAGCATTGCCTCGGTCACCTCAGGGTGCAGGTCGCCCACATACAGCGAGGCCATGGGAAAGTCTGGGTTCCCCTCAGAGCCCCCGCCGGTCTGCGCTTCTGCATCCGCGGCGGCGACCGCGGCGGCCACGGCGGCGGCCACGGCCTCCTCATCCTCATCCGCATCCTCCTCCCCCAAGGGGGGGGCCGCAGCCTCCGCTCCGGTGGCCGCTTCGGCCGCGCTGGCCTCCGCCACTGCCACAGCCGCTGCCAGCCGGGCGGCCTCCGCCTCCCCCAGGGTGGCCTCTGCTGCTGCCTCCGCTACTGAGGCCTCGGCCTCCACCTCAGCCTCCACCTCTGCTTCCGCCTCCGCCACGGAGGCCTCCGCCACCGCCTCTGCCACGGTCGCCGCCGCAGCCTCCGCCGCCGCCGCCGCCGCTGCCGCCGCCGCCACCGCCGCCGCCACTGTCGCCGCTGTCGCCACGGTCGCCGCTGCCGCCGGGCCGCTGCCGCGACCTCCCTTCCCGCGAGCCGGAGGATGGAGAGGCGGGGGAGGGCAGGAGGGCCCGGGGGTGCCGGAACCCGGGCCTGGGGCGCGAGCGGGAGCTGGCGCAGGGGACCCGGAGCCAGCCGAGCCGGCGAGTCCAAATCACCTGGGATGGCGAGCACTGCCAAGAGCGCGCCGGTGCGAGTCGCCGCAGCCTGCAGCCTGCTGCTGTTGCCGCCGCCGCTCGGTCGTGGGCTAGCGTGCGGGGCGCAGGCGGGCGGGCGGCGTGTGGTGGGGGGCGGGGGGTGTTGGCGTCTGTGGTCCGGGCAGCTGGGAAGGCTTCTTTCTCTTTGGTTCCCCCTGTGGCTGCTGCGGGGCTGCGGGGCCGCGGGCGGTGGGAGGGTGTGGGAGGGAGCCGGAGGCTGGGGGCGAGGGCGGAGTGGGGGTGGAGGGGCGTGAGTGCTCAGCCTCTCGGGTCGCCTGGATATTTGTGAAGAGGACGCCAGGGAAAGGGCTCCACGGTGCACGGAGGGGATAAGGGTTCGATGTGGAAGCGGGGGGTGTGTTTTTATCCCCCGTCTCCCCATATGGAACGTTTAAATGCTTAAATCAAGTACCTTGCAAGAGAGGGTGGGGTGGCTTTCAGGATACACTTGCCTGGCCTAAACAAAGCCGAGAAAAACAGTTTTCTCACATCCAGGGTTTCTCTCCCCCCACCCCCGCCAAAAGAGCACACGCACTCCCCAACACCATCACCACCACCAAGGAAACAACTCCTATTCTGAGCCTCCCAAGCTCCCCGGTGCAGCCTGCTGATCCATTTTCTGAGAGATCGCTCCCCCTTTTCCAGCTCTTTCCCTCCTCTGCAACACCGGCAAAAGAGAGAATAAAAAACATGTACTCATCCATAATGTCCTGCCACAAATATTGATGGAGCTGGTGCCAGTCCCCAGGGATAAAGGGATCTGCGAGACAGGAGGGCATAGACTGGTTTTGAGCTTGGGAGCAGACAATCTGGGCCAGAAACCCTGACCCTGCTCCAGACTATGGGAGAACTATGGACCTGGGGTTCAGGACACCCCCAGCTCCCCTCCTCAACCACAGCCTCAGGACATGTAGCCTGGAAGGGGGTGGGGGTGGGGGGATCAAGAGCACCCTGCGGGGCTAGGACTGCCCTCCATGATAAGGTGAGGAAAACCAAACTGAGAGAGCGCTGGGGCTGGGAACAGGGCCTGGTCCAGGGCCACGCATTTGTTTATTCTTGGCTCTTCCCTCAAGGTGCTGAGGTTCCTAACCCGGACCAAGAAATACACATCCCGGTTCGGTTGGAAAGGAAAACCAAAACGAAACGTGAAATTTCTCTCTGGAATGAGGTGCCTGGTCCCAGTTCACCAGCTAATATTTATGGAAGGCTTATCAAGTACTTGGCACTGGGAGGGCGGGGGCGTTGCTGGCTAAAAGAGAGGCAATGTGGCAAGTGAGCAGTGAGTGTTGATGTGTTGGAGGTGTGGGGCGGGGTGAGAAGAGGTGAGCAGTATGTGTGGTGGGAGCCGAGAGGCTACACAGGGCCAAATGCTGAGGGGATAGACCAGCGAACGAACAACCGTGCAACAGAGAATCCCACTTCCTCCAGAAAAGAGGACCAGACACTAACTCTTTCTAGTAGGAATCAAGTGAGGCTGCACCAAAGATGGAACCCCTGAGGTGGGCTTTAAAAGAGGAGGAGCAGTCCACCATGTTGAGGCAGGGGAGAAGGCATTCCAGGCAGAGGGATAAGTCTGTGCCCAAGGCCCTTTGGCATGAGAAAACACACATGGTCACTTCTGGTCATGTCTCATAATCTGGCAAGGACAGAGCTCATGGTCTCCAAGAGTACATGGTAGAAGATGGGGCTGGAAGGTGTGGGGCCCTGAGGGGCAAGCTAAGTGGTTGAACTCTATACCCACGGTCAGGTGCACCACTCAGCATGTTCAAGGAGGAGGGAAGCGGTATGATCAGAACTCTAGAAAGAGTACAAATTAAACATCGATACGCATATGTAAGTGTGCGTGCACATGCGCACACTCACAAAACCAAGGCAAGGTTGATAGAACAAAAGGAAGAAAGTCAGATGTGGCCAGTTCCAGAAGAGTCAGAACATTCTTCCCTCTGTCCCTCCTTTTGTTCCATAAATCGGGGTCTCACACTTACCATGAGCCAGTGGGGCCAGATATTTAAAATGACCAAACCACAGTGGCTTCCCTTAGGATGTCTTCATTCCACTAAGGCTCAGGCTGCCCACACAGAAAACAGAAATGCCAGCAGAAGGCTGTAAGTGCTGTGTGATTGGACTAGGGTGGTCATGGAATTTCACCGGCCCAGTACATATTCTCTCCTCCCCCACGTCCACCTTCTTTGGGCGAATAAAGCTGTTTTGTGTGGTGTCAGTGTTGGCTAGATCTGCGCAGTCGCACATGATACAACAACCGTGAACCTGAGGAAGTGACCGGGTCGCTGTAGGGTGCCAGACAGTGAGAGCTTTCCATCGCTGGCTGGAAAGCATCCCAAGACGGCTGAGAAGCAGACACACAGACTCGTACCTCGCCAGCTTGCAAAGTCCAGCTCTCTGACCCTAGGCAGGGCTAGTGCCAGCAAAGGCAAGGGACAAAGACCTAGGAAAAGCCTACTGGACAGCCCATGCCTGACCAAGGTGATCACTGTCACCAATGTTAGGAGCCATCTCCTGGGAGTCTAGGTTATTTGCAGGCAAGGGGCAGATGAGCTGTGCCTCACCGTTCCAGGTGGTTGTCCAAGAGGGACCTGAGAACGCAGAGGCCAAGGGGGAAGCCCCGATCGCTGAGGAGTAGGGGATGTGGCAATGATGAGAAGAGCTTCTCGGCCCATTGTTAGGAGACAGGAATTACAAGGAAGATCAATCGGGGGCCAAGTCGAGGACTAGGACTCAACAAGATCTCTTTCTCCAGCTTTGGCTTCCAGCCCAAAGAGCCAACAGAAATCTGTGAAATAGCAGGAGAAAGAGGTTCAGAGAAGTCATGCTATGGCCAGCAAATCCCCAAACCTGAAGATAATCCCTAGGATCCTAAACCTCCGGCAGTGGGAACAGGACTACTAAAGTGACGAGGATGCAGCTGAAGACTGCTTTCAAAGTCCTTTCTCGGGGGCCTCCATGGAGCCCCCACCTCCTTTTTCTACTTTGTGGTCAGTTTCCGCCACCCGCAATTGAACGTGTTCTGACTGCTACACACTGTGACAGGGGCAAAAATAAAGAGCCCTATGGAGTGTCAATGGGGGGGG